TAGCTAACTATACATCTTTTAAACTCTCTCTTTGTACCATTTTGTTTTCCATTCCTTACAGTGTTCTGGAATGGATAATTTCACTTTCTGTTATCTTTTGAGGGAAATTTCATTTTTTAAAAAAATCTTACAGAAAACATAACTATGTAATCCTATTTTAATACAATTCTTCATTTTCCTTATAACAATGTACACCGAACATTCTTTTGGATACTGTGTGTGATGATTTTAAGAATTACTTTTCTAATTAACCATAGATGATTGTAAATATTATAAATTCATCAGCACATATGAGTCAGTGATTTCTTCCAGTGTAACATTTTCCTGTTTTTGTATCATGTTCAACTGGATCTATTATGTTTTCTAATAGTTTTCAGTAGGAACACAAAATCCTCTCTAACAGTGGCAAACCTATATAAGTCTTCATTGTTTATGACTTCTTTTGCTGCTTACAGTTCCCCTCATCTTTATATCATTAATGAATGCTCAAAAAATTCATTCTCATACTCATCCCTGTGAGAATACTATCATTAACCTCCTTATAATATGAACACAGTGTTATCTCTTTTAAAGCCATACCAGATGATGTCTTTAAAAGAGCAAAACGAAGTGGAGAGATGATCAATCAAGCAAACGCATTCACTTGACACTTACTGTGCACCTACACAGTACTAGAAATTAGGAGGGCATAAAAGTAGGTTACAAGCCTTTGTTAGCTGAGAATTTAGCATCTAGTTTGGCAAACAGCTGGAGTTCAATATTAACATGTGAAGTAATTAATTGCTAAATTGTAACTGCACCTTAAAATAATAAAATTATAAAGGATAATAGTTAAAATTGGGCAGAAAAATAGACTCAGATGTCTTTTCCTTAAAGATCATATAGTAGATTGAAAAAAAAAGAGGTCATCTTTTAGACAAGGGAAGCATCATAAGCAAACACATAGAGGCAAAAAGAATCAAGGTCTTTAGGTGGATAATAGAAAGACCAATTACCTTTCTTAGAGGGCAATCATGGAAGTGTCATTTGGATAGACAAGATGAGGTCACTGAATTCATTTATTTGCTTATTTTTATTCAACAATTACGCCTTGAGTCTCCATAGTGCTTTGTTGAGGTATCAAAAAGAAATATAGAGGTGAATATAGCAGGTTTTTGGTTTAAGAAAGCAGCACAGAACTATGTGTGGGGAGACATATGGAACTAAAATGCTATAATGGTAGCTTGGTATAATCAGATTATAACAGCCTTGAATGTCAGACTTTTGAAAGGTTTGGACTAGACATAAGATCCCTGACAAGGGGGTCTCAAATTTTTTTCTTTACAACTTTCCTTAGGTTTCTGTTTGTTGTTTGTTTTTTCAGATTTTAATTATGCCTGAAATACTATATTAATTTCAAATAGATTCTTCCTCTACTATCTGTCCTATAAACTGTTGCTAAATTAATTATCCTAAAACAGATCCTAATCCATAAGACTATTCTGTTGCAAATATTTTTGACAGGAGAGACTATAAACATTTTGGTCATGATTTCAAGGTCTCCCTATACTTCAATTTCAGTTGATTTTGCCTTCCATTATTCCTTCACCCAAATCTATTTTCTGATAAAGGTAGCTTACTTTCCCTTCTGTGATTTTTTACATACAATGTTTCCATCTAGAATGCACATCTTCTCCCAAATGTGAACTTCTGCTTTTCTTTAGTTTCAGCTTAATGGTCCTCTTTCTTTGCTTCAGCTGGAAATCTATGCTCTGAATTCCACATTCTCCACCATACAGTCCTTACATTGAAGTTGGTATTACATATCTCCACATTATAGTGTAAATTTCTTTTACCCTTAGAATTTTCAGAATGGAGAGATGTGCAGAATACACTAACTATACTCAGGGTTAAATATATGTTGAATAAGGTCATAAGGTGAATAAACAATCCATCAAGATAAATACTAAAATGATAATAGCAATTAAGAAATACACAAATGCCAGCTGGGTCATTTGATTGTCTGGCAGACTGCTGGAATGAAACATACAGGTATTTTGAAAAGGGAGATAAGAACTCGCAAAATGTGGTAGTTTCCAGCAACGCTGCTAACTTCTAGACCCATTAGGATGCTATTTAAACACAGAGATAAAGAAAACTTGAAAGGTTATGATGTTGTTTATCATCTACTGTCTCAGCCAAAAAAAGGAAGTCCCAACAGCAGACAGGAGCTAGGACTAATAAGTTGAGGAAACCAAGTATTAAAGTTAAATTCATTGTGTATGTGTGCTTCTGTGCGTGCGTGATTGTATGCATGTGCACATAGGTTCGGTTTTGCTACATCTCAGTGAAAGGTTGGCATTTGAGCAGAATAATCTGACATATAATAACGTGCCCTCAATCTCTGTGTTCAAGTGGACTGCATAATGAACTGGGCAATTTCCTCTTCCTCTCTCTATAAAGGTAATTTCTAGTATGATGAAGTAATTAATTTAGATGAGGGCTTTTGAGAAATAGAAATTATCAAGTTTTCTGCAAGAAATTCATCCCAAGGCCAAACAGATTAAAATCATGATTCTAGTCATTCATGACAAATGCATACAATTCCAGATTTCTAATTGAGTAGAATGAGCAGGAAGATGTTCTTATTCTTCAACCTCCAAACTACCTGTCCTCATCAGACTTTGTAACTGACATCTGTAATTGCATAAAAAGCTATATTCCCTTGATTTTCATGCTTATAGTGTGTTCCATCAATTTGGATAAATCTGAATTCTTACTCTTCCCAGCTGCATGACTTCAGGCAAAGTTTTTAATCTCTCTGAGCTTCAGTGAACTCACAAATAATGGGGATAATTAATAATACTTACTTCATACTGGTTAGAAGGATTAGCACGAGGAGTGCTTTGGCATAGTAACCAAATTGCAAGTGTTCAAAAATCCTGTTTTTTTCCTCCCCAAGCCACCCATACAAACAAGGAAACTCAAAGAGGCAGGTGAAATGATATCTAAGTTCTAACAAAATTACTCATTTATATTGTAGAATTTCCCCTTATAAAATATTAGATAGGTACAATCTAATTTTTATGTTTTTTTAAAGACTGAGTTAAAATTTTATTCTGATTTATTCCATTTCACATAATTACTGAGAAATCCATGGCTAGCAAAAACAAGTCTTCACACATGTGTTTTCAGTGTTTATTCTTTCATTATTTTCTAGCTAGTGTTAATCAGATAAGTGGTCCCTTTATATTCAAAAGATAATATTTTGGAGATAGCATTTTGCTTTCCTAACTATCTTTATCTTTGTACATATCAACTAAAATAGTAAATAATTCTGAATGCAAGGCTGATATACATGCTCATAGATGTTGCTAGTATTTTAAATATGTTTTTCAGTTTAATTAAAAAATTTTACCCCAAATCTCAGAGTGTCTTAAGGCATTGTGAATGTTAATTTTCATGTGAACAAAATATTCAGGGATGGTAATAGCAATAATTAAATAACCACATGTGATCACTTTAAAGCAGTTTTCCCTAGAGATATTTTGGGACCAAATTTTTGGAAAAAAGCAAATTCCTCCCAAAGGCATGTTTTTCTATTTCTACACATGCAACAACAAAAAAAAGAAGAAGCATATTAGATAATTATTTTATAGTTAAATATCTATAAAAGAATATTAAAACAAATATTTATTGGGTTACATTACATAAAAATCATAAATAATAAAAAATCTAAATGACCCTAAATTTAGCTGGTTAGGAGAAACTTGTTAAAATAAAAACTAAATAGGAGGAATGCCTTGGTTATAATATTTAAGCAGTACAGAAAAGTGTAGTATGGAACGACACCTCCATCTATCCTCCTTATGCTAAAGTTCCTTATCTCAAAGGTAACAGCTATTCTTACTTTTCCCTCTGGAATATATTTCAGAAACAAATAGATTTATTTATAGATACAATTATTTTTTATTTATGCAGAAAGTGTGTTGAATCGTCTTTCGATTCTAGTAGCCAACATAACCCAGTTCTGATAGATTTCTAAACCCACAAAAGTATATCATGTCAAAGAGTATGGATGCACTTTAGGTTTAGAGAGATAGGAAGATAAGATTAGAAAGTAAATTAGTTAGCAGAGAATAGCAGTTACTTCCCAATAGTGGACCATTGATTTTACCTTGCCCTAGAGTAAACTAGTTGCTATTTCTGGGAACCAGAGAAAAATTGTTCTTATATTGACATTTGTTTTAAGAATTGATGACTATACTTAAAAAAAAAAAAGCCTCTTCACAATACTTTCTTTTTTTCTTTATGGTGCACAAAATTTGAATACATTGTGGTGAATTATTTTCATTCAAACTTTTGCTGGTTTTCCTAGGCTCTGTTAAAATGTATTTCCTTTAGAAAGTCCTCTTCCTTTCTGTACATTCCTTTGTATGCTCATGATATTTAGCCTCTTATAGATCTTATATTTTATCCAGTATAAGAATTTGGTCTATATAGATTCAAACAAACAATGAAATTTTCCAGGAGTTTCATGTTTATGCACAGGTGTTAAATAACTGCAGACTAAGCATTAGTCTCTGTTTGCTGTGATTGTGAAACTGTAGATGATTCTTAATTGTGTTGTGCCTTCATGATGTGCATTTCAAATGGTATTCTCAATATTTGTTGGCTGAATTAAATGGAAAGTCTACAAGTAGCAGTTATCAACTAGTGATAATTCAAGGGAAAGAGTTAAATAATCTGTGGTTACATGATTTGTTGAAATCTCAAATTCTACTAAGTCTCTTTTATAGCATTGTCTCCCATCTGTCTTCTCTGTCCTTAGTTTCTCTCCCTCTTTGTCCCTATTTCCTGTCTCACCCTTTCCCTCTATATGTAATTATCTATTTCCTATGTCTTTCCCATTTTTCCTGTTTTTTCTTTTCTCCCTTCCCACCTAAGTTTTTCTCATTATGGAGTCACACACACACACACACACACACACACACAGTTTGACATATTTGATCTTTCCTTACCGGGATGAAGATGTAGGCTCAGTTGTTTGTCTTTGCACACGTGCATGCTTAATTAAATGTTCTTTTAAAGCAGTTTGGACTTCTGCTGGGATATCAGGGGAAGTGTGGCTGATTTTTATTGCAGGCTCAATTGCTTTTACAGCTGGCTTGCCATTTTCCTTAACTTCTTTTTTTTCTTCAGTCTCAAAAACTTCAGTAGGAGCACTTGAAATGCTCTGTGGAAGGGTACTGATGTTGGAAGTCACAGGTTTGCTTTTCCAGCATGGCCAGCACAGCTTCCAGAAGACGAAAAGGGAGACAACCAACAAAGCCAGGCCACAAAAGCTGACAACGACTGCTAACAAGCTGACTGAAATATCTGGAAAAATTACAATGTGACAAGTATTAGTTAATATTATACATAAAAGGGCAGAAATGGTGAGATAGCTTTACATTATCATTGTTGTTAATAATTTCTTGCTTTAGCATTTCAAAAATTCCCATTTAAGTTATCGTTTTAGGGAAGAATCATGTCTGGAAATTCTCACAGGAGGTACTTGAAAAGTCTATCCCATAAAAAATTTCCAATTTGTGTATGTGTATGTGTGTGTGTGTGTGTGTGTGTGTGTGTGTGTGTGTGTGTGTGCGTGTGTGTGTATAAAGCATGATATATGCATACAATTTCCAAGTATATTACAGTGGGTTCAAATTTTGCAAATAAAGCTTGATGACCTGCAACCTGTCATGAAATCATGAAGTTAAGGAGATTCTGAAACAGCACACAACAGGAAAATCTTGTTGGCTTCATCTTTGATCTGAAGATGCAATTCTTATTCTCTAAGTAGGGAGTAATGTTAAATATTTGTGAAACCGCTTTCTATAGAATAAATAACACATTATTAATAGAGAATAAGTAGACTATTAGTTACATTTTTAAACTCTTTAGTTCCTTTCTGATAAGTTTGTATGTTCCTAACTTCTTAAGTTTTAAATTAGTGAATGAATTATGCTATGGTCTGAATATATGTGTCCTCCACATTCATATGTTAAAATCCTAACCCCCAAGGTGATGGTATTAGGAGGTTGAGTCTTGGTGAGGTTATTAGGTCACGAGGGTGGAATCTTCATGAATGGGATTAGTGTCCTTATAAAATAGGCCCAGGGGAGGTCCCTCACACCTTCAACCATGTGAGAACATAGCAAGAAGACATCATCTATGAGCCAAGAAATGGACCCTCACCAGATGCTAGATCTGCCAGTGCCTTGATCTTGGACTTCTCAGCCTCCAGACTGTGATTAATTTCTGTTGTTTATAAGCTACCTAGTGTATGGCATTTTGTTATAGCAACTTGAACAGACTAAGACAAGTTGATATCTAGGTATCTATAAAATGTTTTTATTTTAAAATAATCACAATATTAATGTGCACTCCTTATATAAAGTGATTCCAAAGAATATGGTCAAAAGTTAATAAGATTGAATGAACAAATAAATGGGGGAAAAGTAACAACTCTCCCATGCAGAAGGATTCCAAATACTTTATATAGATACTCCACCCTCAAGGAGGTGGAGCATGACTCCCTACTTCTTAAGTGTGAGCTGTGCAGGGTGCATAGTCACTTCCTTCCAAAAAATACTGTATGAAAAAGGGTAATTGTACAATGGAGAAACCTGACAAATACTAACCTTACCCAGGTGATCGAGGTTAACATCAACAGTGATAAACCATGCTGATACCATGTACCCCAAATATGATGTGATGAAATGGACATATCTTTGTAGTCTTCCTCCTCAAACCCACAACTCAAATATAATCATGAGAAAAATATCAGACACATTCCAAGAAAGGAACTTTCTACAAAATACTAGTCCTCCTCAAAACTGTCCAGGTTATCATAAAAAAGAAAAGTCTGAGAAACTGTCAAGGGTATCTAAGGAGACAAGACAATTAAATGTTATATACTGGATGGGATTCTGAAATAGAAAAAGACAGTAGATAAAACTAAGGAAATCTGAATAAATTATGAATTTTAGTTAATATATAATTACTGGTTCATTAATTGTAACAAATGTACTATACTAACGCAAGATGTAAACATTTGAAAAAACTGGATATGAGAACTCTGTACCATCTTATCAATTCTTCTGTAAGTCTAAAGCTGGTCTAAAAACTAAAATCTATTTTTTAAAAAGTTAATAACGTAATATTGTCTCTCTACCACTTCCATTTTCACCTTCGTAAGATAACCAATGCTAGTAATCTGATATTGCAGCATTCTTAAAGCTTTGAAGATTAAATAGATTTCCTAGGAAGGGCAATTTTTCTAGACGTGAATAGCCTTAAAATTTTCCTTTTACAATTTTGTTTAGCAACAATATCAAGTATGAATCCAATTTATTTTGTTTACTTTAAATAAAAATGTTAGAAATATGTTATGAGCTGAATTGAGTCTGTCTTCCTGCCCCCTTCCAAATTTGTATTTTTGAGTCCTAAACCTCCGTTACTTCAGAATATGACTGTATTTGGAGATATGGCTTTTAAATTATTAATTAAGATAAAATGAGATCACAGATGTTGATCCTAATCCAATGAAACTGACATCCTGATGAGAAGAGGAGCTTAGGACACAGACACACACAAAGGGAAAACCAAAACCATATGAAGTCACAAGGAGAAGATGGACATCTAAAGCCAAGGAGAAATATTACAGAATTCAACTCTGCCTTTGATCTTAAGACTTCTAGCCTCCAGGACAGTGAGGAAGTAAATTGCTATTACTTAAGTCATCCAGTCTACAGTACTTTGTTTATGGCAGCTATGACAAACAAATATGGAATAACTCTAATTTCCTTTAACCACCACTCTAAATCCAGAAGGTCCTACACCTCCCCAAAAGTAACCACTGATAAGTTTGGTGTATTTCTGACAGTCCCAGAATAAATACATAAAAATATCTCTTATAAAACCATAAGCATTCAATTATATAATATACCACTTTTTATATAATGGCTTACTGCTTAAATTTTCTTTTTTCTTCCTTAAGTTTCCTTTATTTTTATTCAACAATATTTGAAGTATAACTTAATGTCATTTGCATTTCATAATACTTCATCGTGATTTAGATTATGTGCAATGTTTGAGATAATAACGTAGCTACAATGAGCATCCTTGCCCCTTTTACTTGTGCATGTCTTTGTGAATGTTTCTCCAAGGTAAGTATCTAGAAATAGAATTGATGAGTGTTATGTTGTGTACATATTTAGTTTTACTAGACATTTCCAAAATGAATCCCAGAGTTGCTGCAACAAAAGCATCATGTGAGTTTACCAGTTCCTACAATCTCAGAGAAATATTGTTACACTCTAATTTTCACTGAACTGATGGGGAAATGATACCTCATTTTAATTTATACTTTCCTGATTGGCAAGATAAAACCATTCCATTTAAGCCCCCTATTTGTGGCTAATGAAAATCCATTCAGAAATTTAAACAATTCCAAGTTTTTATTGCTACTTAATTATAAGAATAAAAATTAATTTTGACATACAGAGATATATAAACATGAATATTTTTCCTTATTTTCAGCAACTATTAAATGTTTTCTGTTTATACTCCACTGGTGAGGAGTGTTTAATATTTGATATTTTACAGTTTATTTTTACTTTTCTATTATTCATTATCACCATAACTTGAGGAAAATAAAAAAGTATAAAATAATGTGCTCTCTGATTATTCATTATGGTTTAAAAATGGATGAATAAATACAATATGCCTTCAAAATCTTCATATATTTTCACCTCCATTTACATTATATTTTTCTATATATTTTAACTCAGTTAAGTTTTTCAACAGAATATGTAGTTGGAGCCAAAAGTTAAGATGTAAGGAAACTTAAAGTCAGTGTGGGATGAGGGGAAGAGAAAAGTAGCTTTCGGTTTCTAACTGAAAATGTATCTCTTTTATACTCTACCCAGAAAAGCTGAGAGAACCTTTAAACTCTATCTAGAAGGGTTTTATGAAATTCCTTTATGTCACCATTCCTAGGAGATGGGCTTTGACAGGTCTCATCTTAGCAAAAACCCCTATGGAAATATTTGAGCCTGCTTCCATTTTTCCCACTGCTAAAATTTTTCTTTTTAAGTTGACATCTGGTTTTATCATTTAGGGGACCATATAATATTTCATACAAAATGGAATACTTTTGAATAAAGCCAGGGTAACAGGAAAAATATCAAGTAATGTCCTGGCAACTGAGATGTGTGGTAGCCCTACCTCTCTCCACCTAACATACCTCCATGTCTTTCCTTGATCATCTGGGACAAATCCAAACTTTGCATTACATTCTACAGTATTTTTATGATTAGACTCTTGGTTATTGATCCAGTTTCATTCTTCTGCCATTCCTTCACCTGTATTTCTTACCCCGGCTATGAGTTCCTCACATGAGTTTGTTCAGGCTGTTTCACATAGCCCCAATGCATTTTCTCTTCCTATTTGACTGCCTGACAAATTTTTATTCTTCTTTCAACAATCAGGCCCAGTTGGATCCACTATGGTTTGAATGTGTTTCTCAAAGTACATGAGTTGGAAACTTAATCCCCAGTGTAATAGTGTTGAGAAGTGGGACACTTAAGAGGTGATTAGGTCAAGAGGGCTCTGCCCTTGTTAAAAAATTTATGCTATTATCTCAGTAGTGAACTAGTTATCAGGGGAGTGAGTTCCTGATAAAATAATGAGTTTGGTGCCTTTCCCACCCCATGTCATGCCCTCCACCACGTTATAATGCAGCAAGAAAGCCCTCACAAGGTGTGGTCCTTTTATTTTAGACTTCCCAGCCTCCAGAACCATAAGCCAATAAATATCTGTATGTTAAAAATTACCCAGTCTCCAGTGTTCTGTTGTAGCAGCACAAAACAAACTAAGACAGTACTCCTTCCATGAAGCCCTCTCTGCCTCTTCCATTCCTAAGGGCTTCTAAAACACACTCACTCCTATTCCTAGTACTGCAATCATTGCTTGGCCTATAACCCTTTATTCCAAGATCTTGGGAAATAATGTATTTCAAATATCAAAAAGAAAATGCCATAGCTTGTACTGTGGAAGGATTTAGACCTGGGTTCAAATGTTAGCTTCATTACTGTATGACTTTAAGTAACTTGTTGAGGTTTAAAGTACATCAGTAAAATAAGGGTAGTTGTATTTACTTCTCAAAAAGGTTGTGAGGTTTAAATAAGAAAATATATGCAAAGTATTTAGTATCGGAATTTGCAAATAAATACAATAATGAGTTGCTACCACTATCAACTATTTATTTTTCTTTAAACAAGAGTGTCAAGCAGGAAAAAAGACACAGGTATGGATGGGGTATTGATTGAATG